TGGAGGGTCTCATCCAGCTGTGACTTGAAAGAAGCCCGGGTATCGGCTTCAACAACATGACTGGACAGCTTGTTCCACACTCCCACCACCCTTTGTGTGAAGAAGTGCCTTCTGTTCTTGCTCTTCCACATAAAACAATGTCACTTGCGACCCCCTCTTATAATACTGACTTGTGTGGACAGTCCCTGCTAGGGTGGTTGAGTGACCTCAAGGCTGTTTGGAAATAAACCTCTCCACGCTCTGCTGGAATGTACAAGTCCAGGAAGTGGCTTTAGCGCATATACCGCTATACAGAATAAAACCCCTTGTACTCACCTGTCCTTCCCTCAACAGCTTACCTTGCTCTCCCAGTGCAACCTCTTAGTCTCTATCATCTACATGCCTGAAACACCGTTTTAACACACCCTCTCTCTAGCACCCATATATACTAATAGTTCAGGTGCTATGGCTGCTGTCACATCATCCAGGTGAGGCTGCACACCGGTGGTGGCGGAGGAGAATCTCCATCACCTGTAAAGTGCTTTAAGTGGAGTGCCAAGAAAAGCGCTAAATAAGTGTAAGCAATTAATTATTATTATCATTATTAATATATATACCAAACTCAGTAATGCACACCAAACCATTAATCAAACAGTAGTGCACATACAGTGTAAGTGACGCTATGCTAGCTCTGTGAAGTTGGCCCCCCTACACATAGCACAAACGATGAAGCTCACCTCATTCGTGAGTGCTACGTTTGTGCCGGTTTGTGCCATTGAATGTAGCGTTTGTGCTGCTTTCGTTTCCGAGATATAGCGCCCTGTTTTTTTGGGGGTTGTGACGTCACTCAGCCCCCCTACAACATCGTAGGGCAACCTACGGTAAAAGAAATTCTTCACAGATTTCTTTTACCCAGTCTCTCAGTGCTGTCGGGCGTGCACCAAGGGTACAGCTTGGCTCTTGGTCCCCCGCTACACCTCTTTCTTCTAGAAATTCATCAGAAGAAAAAGCAACGTATCCTTCTACGATTTTTTTCTGCAGAAATAGTTTGCTTTTCTCCAAAATGACAGGCCTTCCCAATGCGTCTCTCCCTTCTGCCTCACTTAAAGCTACATTAATAAGTCCCCTGATGAGCTGTTTTGCATCATCCAGTGACACAGACTGAATCAGCTGGCCTATGCTCCAAACGTAAAATTCTCTGTCTTCGTCCCTGTCAATCCCACCTGCTTACCAATTTGATGCAGTGTGCTACATCCACTCGGATAAAACAAGGTGGTAATTGTGAAGACTCATTCCCCAAGAACACACAAAAACTCTCATTTATGTAGCACTAACAATTGCAGTGGGTTTCATCGTTTGTGCTGTTTCTTGGGTAGGGTGGGGACTTCATGGAGCTGGACAAGCAAACATGTCCTGGGTCATTACATTGCATTCTGCAAAAGACACGATTTCACCTGGGAGACATTTAACTATCTAACAAAGGCAGTCATATCTGTGTCTTCAGAAGTCAAGGTGTGTCACTCAGCCCCCCTACAATGTAGTAGGAAAACCAAAGCGGTCTTATTTGTTAGTGCTGCGTTTGTGCCGGTTTTTGGGCGTTGAAAGTAACGTTTGTGCTGCTTTCATTCTCGAGATATAGCCTTGTTTTGCAGGTGATCACGTGACCATGCACGGTGCCTTTGACCTCCAGTGACCCCGTCTGCCGAGTTCAAGCGCTCTGTTACCGTTTGGCTCGTACCCTTAACATTGTAAATACAATCAATATCTTAAAACATATGAGCCTATTTAGATGTGAATAATACTAAGACATGACACATGCCAACAAGTTAACCATCTATGACATGAACCTGTGGTTGTAATGTATGTAAAATCACCGTGATTGTAAGAGCTATGGTTTTTTCTAAGGCTCGTTTTCCTTTGCTTTCCCTACCGTGACACGCTGTTGCCAAACGCGTAACTGTGGGATACCATCACGACAAGACCTCTGTAGCATGTCATGATAGGGACCTAATGTATAACACATGTATATCACGGCAGTATATATCGCGACTGGCGCCTTGCTTCCATGCCACCCTGGCACCACTGTCGCAAAAAAGGTCTCATATCAGGACATGATATACCCAGATCAGACGTGTCGCAACATATGGGCTCCATGTCGCAACATGGCGGGGGGGGAGGCATTTTGTCGGGCAATTTCATATCTCGATATACGGGCTTCATGTCGCGACATGGGGGCGGGCATTTTTGTCGGGGTATTTCATATCGCGATATAGGGGCTTCATGTCGCGACATGGGGGCGGGGCATTTTTTGTCTGGGTATTTCATGTCGCGATATACAGGTTTCATGTCGCGACATGGGGGCGGCTATTTTTGTCAGGGTATTTCATATCGCGATATACAGGTTTCATGTCGCGACATGGGGGCGGGGCATTTTTTGTCGGTAATTTCATATCGCGATATATGGGCTTCATGTCGCGACATGGGCGCAGGGGCCTCTGTTATATCACGATATGTGGACTCCATGTCACCACATGGAGGTGGAGGCGTTTTGTCGGGTATGTCATATTGCGATATATGGACAGTGATGCTCCAGTCGCAATGGGTATCGCGATGTGATCGTGATGCGATCTTGATGCGCGCACTCCTATCGTGACATGCTATCGGAGTCGTGAACGCGCTGTGGATGCCACGACATTCTTTGTCTGCTATTCAGTTTTGACCTCAGTGCGACTTCTCTTAGATTGATCAGTTATTGGAAACCAATGGATGTGTTACTATGTGTCCAGCGTGCTCATACAGCACACACGGAACTTCCGCTGTGGCGCTTTACCCAATCAGAGTGTCGATTCTCACTCTTCACCCAATCGCAGCCTGAACTTCTCGAGGGTTTAGCCAATCGCGGGTTTGAGAGCTGAGAGCTAGCAGCGCCAGGTGGATCGGCTTGTTTACTGTCAGTGAGAATCTAGTTTTAAAATGCTTTACTTATTTGCAAAAAACGGCATCGGCTTAGTTTTTTTAACGTCTTTAGTGATTCACAAGGTTCCGTACTCTTCGTAATAAATACATTTTTATTTGCAATATAACGGTCTCCGCTGCTTTCTGTAATGAATACATGGTATTTGAACATTTTTATATATTATATAATTATTATCGTATATTTAAGGGAAACACCTGCTCTGTACTTTAAAAATGAATAGAAATGTAAAGTGTATGATCTATTAAAATGAAACGCAACGGGGGCTCCGGCGGGCGCCCTTGCCGCATCTGGTCGGCCCCATCCCGACTGGAGGCTCGAACCCGGGACTTCCGCGTCTCTCTGCAGCGACCTAGCCCCGTGAGCTAAAGACAGATCTCTCCACAGCCCAGTAGCTGTGGTCCTGCTATCACAGGGAAGGGCGGTGACATCACCTGCTCTGGTACGCCGGCTCTTACACAGTGCCTGTCGGCCGTAAGCGTTACAATAATGTTCGTGCTTTCAATTTTGTTTTTTTATTGTTAAATTATATCGATCTGGAAACTTATTCCTAAAAATGTGAATATGGGCTCTCGTGTTGTACCAGCGGTACTTTGGAAACTGGAGTCTCTTCACTAATTGAAAGGAGTACACAATCAATACATTTTCGAGGACATGGTTAAAACATAAAAGAAAACACCTAACCCAATAAACTAACATAGTACCTCCTCCCTAAATGTAAGACTGTTTATTCGTGTAAAGGCTCCAAAGTCTGGGGTCAACTGATCAAAAGATCACAACTGAAAGATCTGGTGGTCGTGACTTTCCTATTTTGTACGTCACAGAGTGACGCCAGACCCAGGAGAAGAACGCGCTATATTGAAATATATTGAAACATCCATCCCACCCGACCAGACAGACTCGGAAAAACAAATTGCCCCCATTGTTTTCATCACAATCAGGAACTCAAGTACCGAGTTTGTGTGTACCCATAAACAGCCTTGTAAATAGTCACGTGATTACCCGAAAAACCAAGGCGCTATATCTCGGAAACGAAAGTACAGTAGCACAAACGCTACTTACAGCTACACAAACCGGCACAAACTCAGCACTAACGGTTGCGGTGAGTTTCGTCGTTTGTGCTGTTCGACGGGCGGGTGGGCAACTTCATGGAGCAGGACATGCAAACATGTCTGGGTCATTACATACCAGACTGCAGAAGACTCGACTTCACCTGAGGATCTAACACAGGCGCCCATACCTGTGTCTTCAGAGGGCAGGTGTGCCCTCACGATGTATTCTACACCAAGGACTGGCCAGATACACAAAGATAAAAGGACTGTGAGCTTCATGTTTGCGCGTAAGACCCCTGTAAATACAGACACGCGGATAATGCCAGTTTTTCGAAGAACCTAGACATATGTTCACTTCTGTTCTGTGAAAATAAAAATATTTTCCAATATTGCCGCGGTCTGCATGTGTGAGATGGTAGACTCTTGTTTCTCGGATGAGTTATAAACTGTGTAAACTTTTTACATAGTGCCCCTTTAAAAAAAAAGTTCTGAAGTCCTGGTTCCTTTTCAATGTGCTTTGCATAAAAAAGAGCAACAGTGGTTCAGAAAGTTGCAAATTCAAGTCTTTTTAAATATGTGGCTCGACAGACAGGTCGAATCTTCACACGTCCCTGGATGCCTATGTTTATTTAAGGAGACAATGCAAAACTGAGTACTTCTTCAGATTTCTTAAAAAAGGACACTGCTAAGAGGTATTAAGACGTGTTCGTTAAAGCCTCTTTGTAAGAATTGTTTGCTAATGTTCGCTTTTTAAGGCTACACCCGCAACTCTTCTGATTAGGGTATGATATTGGAGAGAAATTTAATTTTCCTGCTCACACAAACGCACAGAAGACACTGATATTAAATGCAAAATCCACCGCCGCCCCCCACCCGGGCACACAGAGGATCACAGTTCAGAACTGTTACTCTCGCACCGGTAACAGACGCTTGAACTCGACAGACGGGGTCACTCGAGGTCAAAGGCACTGTGCAAACAAAGCGCTATATCTCGGGAACGAAAGCAGCACAAACGCTACTTTCAACGGCACAAACCGGCACAAATGTTGCATTAACGAATGAGGTGGGTTTCATCGTTTGTGCTGTCTGTCCAACCGCATGGAGCGCACGGAGTTCATTAAGCTAGTGACAAGACAAACTCTTATGGCCATTGTGGCGCCCTCTGATGGCAGTCACTGTCATTACAGCCCTCACATGGGCCAACCTGTCACACCTACAGTATATACAGTACATATATCCATCCATCCATTTTCCAACTGCTTTACGCATTACAGGTTTACAGGGGAGCTGGTGCCTGTCTCAGTAACCAACAGGTGCTGGGCAGGATACACCCTGGACAGGACACCAGTCCATCACAGGGCAAACAGACACAAACACACACACACTCTCACACCAGGGACAATTTTCCCAGAAACCAGTTAACCTACCGCTATGTCTTTGGACCGAAGGAGGAAATTGGAACACCCAGAGGAAACCCACACAGGGAGAACATACAAACTCCACACAGATAGCACCCCAGGTCTGGAACTGAACCCGGGGTCCCAGTGCTGCAAGACAGCCCTGCTCTACACTGCGCCATCGTGCCACCCTATGATACAGTATACTGTATATATCCTTTATTAAATCAGACACTTCAACCGAGCAGAAATTCCCATTTGCAAGGACGATCTGAGTAACAGGCTAACATCAACCTCCCGTGACAGAAGACAAAACAGAGAGCTGAAGAAAAGGGCCACATAAAACACGTAACTACCTGGCCAAGGCAGACATGAGGTGCGTGCACAGAGCGAACAAGCTCTCTGATAGGCAGGTGGAGGTTTTCCGATCCCCTGCTGCTCGTCCGGCACGCTGGCCACTGCTACTGGGAAGGACTTGTGCCCAGAGTCAGGAGCTGCTTCAGGGATGCCCAAGCCTCTGTAACACAGCTTCAGACCTCTTGCCTTGCTGTCATGCCATGTCAAATGTCCATCCATTTGTTTAGCACGAACGTTGAGGAGAACAGAGGACCAGGGTAGTACAGAACGCTGCGTACCATTCCTGGCCGATCGCCTGGAAACGCCTGGGCGAGGGTGCAGGCACGCGGACAGGAGAGTCGGATCGCAGGGGGGAGGGTGGGGAGCGGCGGCTCTGTGGGTAAGGATCTGCGGCTGTGGCTGGAGGCTTACCGGTTCAAATCCCGCGACTGGCAGGAGGATCTTACTCTATTGGGCCTCTGAGCAAGGCCCTTAACCCCAGCTGCTCCAGGGGTGCTGTATAAATGGCTGACCCTGCGCTCTGACCCCAAGTCTTCTCTCCCTGTCTGTGTGTCTCATGGAGAGCAAGCTGGGGTATGCGAAAAGACAAATTCCTAAGTGCGAGAAATTGTATAGGGCTAATAAAGTGATGTTGTGTTATGTTAGGGAGTGAAACGTTTGTTGTTTCTTCAGGACGGGAAAGGGAGTGGCAGGAGGGGCCTCCTTCCCCGCTGGAACAAAACCCAGCCTCAGCCGCCGGGACCTGCTGGGAGCCAAGGAAGTAGAAGAAAGAGAACACTGTCTCTTCTGCGCCTGGC